ATTCCTGCTAATAAATCGCTATGACCACCAAAATACTTTGTTGCTGAATGTAAAACCATATCAGCGCCCCATTTAAATGGATCTTGCAATGGAGGGGGTGCAAATGTTGAATCTATTAACAAGAAGGCCCCTTTTTTGTGAGCCTTCTCAGCAAAGTATTCGATATCAAAAACAGTTCCATCAGGGTTGACAGGGGTTTCTAAACAAATGAGGTCTCCCGCATTCAATTGATCTAAGTCATCATCTAACCCAATTACCTTCAATCCCTTAAGACGGGTAAATATATCTGTTATGCTGTGACATCCATGATATCCCTTTCCAATGCACACTGTGCTTGGGTTAAAATAGGTCAATGCAGCGAAAAAAGCACCTAAACCTGACGAATACGCCACCGTATGTCCACCAACAATATCTTCCAATGCCCTCTCTACCCTCTCTGAGTTGGGATGCGAAATTCTTGAGTAAAAAATATTGCCTATAATTGAACTATCTTCGGGCAAATCTGACCATTTCACCAAGTCGTCTGGATTTTCGGCATATTTGTAAGTGGTCGAAATATTTATTGGAGGCATAACATCACGCACAGGATGTACTTCATCGCTTGCATGTATTGAATTGGTTGAAATTCCTGTCATTATTATGTTGATTTCGTTACTTTTAAAAATATTACTTAAAATCCTTGATAATTCCCTTGATCACCCCTAAACGTGAATTCATGGAATTGCTCGCTTAGTGCATTTTTGAAGCCACAGAAATAACAAATACAATTCTTTCAACACCAAATCACGTTAAAACCACCTTCATCATGTAAATTTATAACTAACTCTTTCATGCAAGCTTAGAATACTGTTTGTTATTGCAAAATACGGCGGGACTAAGACTTTATTATCTTATGTGTCCATAGGTCGTGTGATGTACAATAATGTGTCTAGAAATTATCTGATGAGCTCTAAGCAACTAGAGAACTATCAAGTATACAGTCATACATATGAATGTCGGAAGATACGTCGGTTATGGCGCTGGAATTCAGGGAAGGATCATTCCAAGAAGAAAGACGGCATGTACATAGGGAGTTAGAAAACTTGGAAGCTGAATCATTATCAGAATCGTTACCAGAGGGATTCAATGTTGAAAAGAGTTATACTTCCAAGAGAGGTTTACGAGCAGTCTACTCTAGGACGAGCGGAATAATGCCTATCTTCTTATCTGTAGTCAGTGGATCTATTTGGGGAGTTCTAGGTAGGAAAGGATTAATGGCTCTCACAACATATAACGGTTCATTTCTTTCTGGTGTAATATGGGCCAATTTCGCTGCTTGTATTGTTATGGGCATGGCAGTTGACAGTACCAACTTATGGAGAGAACTAATTGACTCGGGAGATTACGCGAATAAAGGTATAATTGGTGTTTATGTTGGTATCACGACGGGATTTTGTGGGACTCTTTCTTCCTTCTCTTCAGTGATGCTAGAAGCGTTCAATAAGTCTGCTGATACCTTACCAGGTGATTACTACTCTTACCCCAATTCAGCATATGGAATAATGGAATTCTTGTCAGTTATAATAGCACATATGTGCTTGTCATTGACTGGCTTTCAGATAGGTAAGCATCTCATTGACGTGGTTGATCCTGCTTTGCCTGTTCTAAGTAAGAAATTTTACAGGACTTTGGAAAAATTGTGGATAATTCTTGGTTTGGCTGCATTCATTATTATAATTGTATTGATCGGTGTTAAAAACGATGGTTCATGGAGATCGTGGACATTTGCATGTTTTTTTGCTCCTTTTGGTGCCTTATCTCGCTTCTTCCTCTCTAAATACCTAAACCCTAAGATTAAGAATTTTCCGTTAGGTACTTTCACAGCCAATTTGTGGGGTACTTTGCTCCTAGCCATATTTACTTTATTGGGAAGAGGAAAACTACCTGGCAATACACTGTCTCAAATCGTGACCAATGTTCTCAGTTGTCATGTTTTGACTGGTTTAGACGATGGCTTTTGTGGGGCGCTAACAACGGTAAGTACCTTTGTTGTTGAATTGTTTGGTTTGAACACGCTACATTCCTATAGATATGGTTTTTATTCGATTGCAAGTAGCTATATTGTGACAATGTTAGTTTTGGGTAGCTATAATTGGACTGTTGGGCTAACGAACCCTGTCTGCTAATTTAAACGCGCAGACTCGATTTTGCAGTTGTCTACGTTTATTAAATAGCTCATATTATCAACTAATAGTAACCACATTGATGACCTTATATAAATGCATAATATTATAGAACCTCTAACCCAGTTTATCAAGTAGCTTTCATTTAAATTTAGGTGCTTGTAATAATCAAACTCATGCTGTGGGGTCGTCAAAGCTAAGATCTTTTCACTTCTCAACCACTGTATTACATTTTTCAATAGTTCACAATGAAACAATGTGAATCCTTATTTTTCGTGATCTATACTGTATTTTCCTTGGACTAAGTATATCTAATCACCTATTTTCGAGACAATGCCTGTGCGGGTTGAGACTTATCCCCGGATATTTCTTACCTTCATTTCAACCTCAAAATATTGCGAACTTGTATTTACTAGATAATCTCCGGAAAGTACACTCGTGAAGCATTCGGAGATAATTAAACTTCAGTTACACCATAAATCAACCCCACAAATTGTCATATTTAAACACTGGAAAATGTAAAGATTAGATTAAAAAATTATTATTCACTTTTATTATTTAAGAACTATCTATATTCTCAAGGTTTTGCCTAATTACAATTAATATCATTAGTCCACAACTTGATAAAAAATTCATTGAAAAATAAAAATGGCCACTGCTGCAACGATTGATATGGCCGATGAGGTTAATCCTCCATTAACTTACGAACCAGTTGATGTGGATATCCCAGTCTCCAAAATTTATGGTACTTTAAAACCAAACCATAGCCAACTTGAAAGTGAAAATTTGTATGAGTTGGCTTCAAAATGGATTAAAGAACTTAACACGATTGTGAAACAGATCCTGGAAGACCCTTCTCAAGAAAATCTTGATAAATTGGACTCTATTATTGCACCACATGCATCTTGGAAAGATCATTTGTCTTTGTCGTGGAACTTTCGACAGTTCCACGATTTAGATAATATCAAGACCATGGCCAAAAGCTGCTTTCCTTCTTTCAAGCTAAAAAATTTTGAAATTGATACTACTGCTGATCATAGATTTGACAAGAGTGTTGGTATTCAAACCATTCACGAAGCTAACGACAGTAATCCTATTCCTATTCAATGGGTCCAAATTATTGTGAAATTTGAAAACGAATTTGGTTACGGAAATGGTGTTATTAGGTTGATTTCAGTAGAAGATAAGGACGCGCCTTGTGCTTTAAAGGCATTCACCATATATACGGCCTTAGACAATATTAAAGGTAACGAAGAAATTTTAGGAAGAAGTAGACCTCAAGGTGTAAACCATGGTGAGAACAACGGAAGAATTTCGTGGTTAGAGAAGCGTGAGAAGGATTTTGAATGGGGTAACGAAAAAACTCCTACAGTTTTAATTGTGGGAGGAGGCCAGGGTGGTTTAAATGTAGCCGCTAGATTGAAGACAATGGGCATAGATTGCTTGATTATTGAGAAAAATAGTAAAATTGGAGATAATTGGAGGGATCGTTATAAATTCTTAGTATTGCATGATCCTGTTTGGTATGATCATTTAGCGTATATTAAATTCCCTGATGTTTGGCCAGTATTCACGCCTAAAGATAAGTTGGGTGATTGGTTTGAATCTTACGCAAAATCCATGGAATTAAGTTATTGGGTTAATAAAACAGTTTCTGGAGCTGATTTTGATTCAGATACTGGAGTTTGGTCAGTTAATATTGTGGACAATAACAGTGGTAAATTGACTAAGATTAAGACTAAACATATTGTAATGGCAACCGGACATTCAGGAGAGCCCAATATCCCCACGTTTAAAGATCAAGATAAATTCAAAGGTACAATTGTTCATTCATCGCAGCATTCTACTGGTAAATCCTTTCAAGGTGAGAATGCAGTAGTAGTGGGATGTTGTAATTCTGGCCATGATATTGCCCAAGATTTCTACGAACAAGGAGCAAAGCCTACCTTGGTTCAAAGATCAACAACGTGCGTGATTAATTCAGAAATTGGTTTGAAAGTCACTACGAAAGGACTATATGAGGAAGGCGGTCCAAAAACTGAAACAGCTGATCTAATCTTACAATCAATGCCAGTAAAATTATTGAACTTAGTAATGCAACAACAATACAGACAAACTATGATTCTTGAAAAAGACTTACACGAGTCTCTCAAGAAATCTGGCTTCAAAGCTGATAGTGGGTATGGAGGAACAGGTTTATTTGGAAAATACTACAGACGAGGTGGTGGTTACTACATTGATGTGGGTTGTTCTAAATTAATAGCTGATGGTAAAATTTCGGTACAGCAAGGTAAAGAAATTGAGCGTTTCACTGAAAATGGCCTTGTGTTTTCTGATGGTACAGAAATTAATAACTTAGCAATCGTTGTATTAGCTACTGGTTACTCTAATATGAAAGATACTGCTAGAAGAATATTTGGTGATAAGGTAGCTGATAAGCTTAACCCCGTTTGGGGTCTCGATGATGAAGGTGAAATAAATACAATGTGGAGAGATTCGGGTCATCCAAACTTTTGGTATATGGGTGGTAATTTAGCAGTATCTAGATTTTTTTCAAAGAGACTAGCCTTAAATATTATTGCTAAAGAAAGAGGGTTTGATAAATCTAATTCTTGAAGCCAAAGGTGTCAATTGAACTTCTCTTTTTTATATTTTTATCCAATTGAGTTGTTTTGTAAGTTCATAGTTTTTTATTTAGAGAAGTTCGCATTTTTTCGAAATGGTTGCGAAATTAACATGATTTTACAATAAAATACAAACGTTTCTTATATGAATATTATTTAATTCTTAAAAATTATATATATCTACAATTTAAAGCCACTTGAACCCTTAGGCTTTTGAGATTTTCTAATATTACCTTTTGCATCCCTAAGTTCACCTTTCTTGTCAATAATTGTAACATTTTTGGCATTAGATAAGGTATTAACAACGTCACTAACCTTTTGTCTCTTGTTATTATTCGAGGATGTTGTATCTTGTTTCTGTTTCTGTTCTTGATACTCCTTTCTTTCGTTAAAGTGTTTCGACTTCTTCCTTTTATTTGCTCTTCTGAGTCTCTGTTTATCTTCTCTCGATAATTCGTCTTTAGAGTAGGATAAACCAGATTTAAGCAAAACTTCTGATCTACCTTTAGCACCATTCGCAGCAGGTTTGTCATCACCAATTTTATAGATTTCTTGAGGAGCCAATGTGGTCTCATTAGAAACATGCAACGGTTGTGCATCCTCCATACTAATTGATGCAGCGTCAGAAACCTTAATGTCAATAGTTTTCATTTGATGAGGCTTTGGAATGAAATGCGCAGAACATAATGAGTCTAGCTTGTGAGTAACTTTTGTAAATAATTCACTTATTTCGTCGTGCTGTTTTTGTAATTCCTCAGAGACTTCCTTATTTTCGTCAACATTGTTATATTGATCTTCATATATTTCCGCTAATGATTTGCTTGATTTTTGCTCTGATAATTCAAACTTTTGTCTGTTATGAAACTTAGAAATGTCTGTTATAATTCTTTTGGGTAAATCATCAAATTCACCTTCTTTGATTCTACGCTTGATTAAATCTTCTATTGATTCAGTGACTTCTTGTGTGATAACTGGTACTGGCTTTGAAGTTCTGTCGAATTCTAAACTTGCAGACTCTGGATCATCTAATAAGGAGTCTTGTGGACGATCCTTGGATGCTATTTCCCCCTTCATAGTCCACTTTTTATCAGCTACCAATTCAGATTCGAGTGCGGCAATCTCTGCTTGAATCTGTTGTTGCTGTTTCTGATATGACGATAAATTCTCTGTATCTTTGGGCTTTTGGTTTTCATCATCAAACAAATCTAACATAGCTGATCCAACTGCATTATCATATTCATCTTCATTTAATTCCACATCTTCATCAATCTCAATCTCATCCTCATCTTCATCATCTTCTCCATCTTCATTCTTTTCTTCATGATCACTTCCTTTCGAAGACCTTGATGTGTTTACTTTACCTGGCTTCTCATAAAAATCATCAAAGTATTCCATTTGTTCATCATCCTCATCATCATCGCCTAAATCGCCAAAAAAGTCAATTTCTTCTTCGTCATCTGCATTATTTGTATTCTCCAACGCTAATATTTGCTTGTTAAAACTATCAATATCAAAGAACTCATCATTCAACCCGAATGCATCTTTTTTTGGAGGATGAATTTCTTCATCGTCTGATGGTACTTGGGTTTCGTTCTCTGAATCCTCATCACCTTTAAAGTTCTCAGATTCTTCATCATCTTCATTTAAAGTTTGGACGTCATCTTCACTTTGTCCTACAATCTCAGCATGACTATCGCTATCACTCTGATTTTCTTCTTCTTGATCGTCTGTTTCATTTTGCTGTTGCTTATCCTCGTCATCGCTTTCAGAAACTTCCTCGTCGCTATCATGGTTCATGTGCTCTTCTTTTAATTTTGGTATTTTGTCAAATAACAAAGATTCACACGCCCCTTCTAATACAATCTTTGTCTGTCCATAAACTTGCGTGGAATCCAACCCATCTACATAGACTTTATCTAGCACGGAATATTCCTTCGTTATTGGATCCAAAAATGTTTTAATTAACTCATTGAAATATCCAGAGTCTTGTTGACTTTCTGATTTGAACAATCCAAATACCTTTTGAGGATTATCCTCTAATACACTTAATATATCCTGAGGCATTGTTGATCTAAAGTTAATAAAGCTATACTATGATCATCATATAAACCTACATGAAAAATTTATGAGAAGAGATGCTATTTTAATATGCAGGAAATCAATAGAAGTGATAAAATTGATTTGGAGCAGTGATACTTTAAGATTTAATTACAAGGGAGGAGATAAATGATAAGAAGAATTACATCGTCGACACTCGGTAATGATTCTTTCACTAGAGTTTTAGGATTGAGATGGAAGTCTAAGTCTATTTCATCATCTAGATGGTTAAATCGCCAAAAAAATGATTCGCATACGAAAGAGTCAAAATTGCAGAACTATAGGTCAAGGGCGGCATTCAAATTGATGGAGATCGATGATAAATACAGGATATTTAACAAAAACTCTAAAAACATAGTCGATTTAGGGTTTGCTCCTGGTGCATGGACCCAAGTTGCGATTGAACGTACTAAATCTTTGAACATTAATGCAAATATAATAGGTGTTGACTTAATCAATTGTAGCCCACCAGAAGGAGCAAGCTTCATACAGGGAGATATTTTGTCGAAAAAGACGCATAATAATATTAAAGACTTCTTTAATACCAAGAAAAGCGAAAGTGAGCTTGAAACATGGCCTGTTGACTTGATAATAAGCGACATGATGGCCAACACATCTGGAATTAAGGATAACGATCATTATGCAAGTATGGAGCTATGTGATGGGGCGTTGATACTAGCAAGTGCGCTATTGAATAAGAATGGTAGCATGGTAATGAAGTTTTATACTGGAAAGGAAGATGGTTTACTAAAAGACAAATTACAAAAAATGTTTCATAAGGTATTCAAAATGAAACCTTCAGCATGCAGGGATGAACTGAGAGAAATGTATTACATTGGTGTAAGGAAAAAGAATCAAATGATAGATATTTCTGATCTCTTTAGTTAAT